GAGATACACGCACGTACACGCGGGTACACGGAGATATACGCACGTACACGCGGGTACACGCACGTACACGCACGTGTACGCACGTGCACGCGGGTGCACGCACGTACCACCTTTCTTTTCCTTTTCCCATTTCCTATTTAGACTTTTAAAATAGGAAACGGATCAGAGACCCATTTCCCATTTCCTATTTTCATTTTAAAAATAGGAAATAGGTCAGAAACCCATTTCCTATTTGCAACGTCAAATGGGAAAACAAAATAAGGGATCAGAAACCCATTTCCTATTTTCTATTTTCATTTTAAAAATAGGAAATAGGTCAGAAACCCATTTCCTATTTGCAACGTCAAATGGGAAAACAAACTAACGGTATGTACCCTGATTTAATCCGAACACGAACACGAAACAGAAACAGAAACGTATGCATTGTAGCAGATTGCACCGTTGCACGGTCTCTTGTGAATAAACTAGAATGGTGGTTGGAGCCGAATTTATTGTCTGAGCATTAATGAGTGAGTACTTACTAAGATCTACCGTTAACATTAACAATAACAAAAACAGTATTAGATCCTCTACACAACCTACTACACTTAAATGAATTTTAAAATTTACACGTCCGCACAAATTCAAGTTGAAATTGCAGAGTTTCCCAACATCCGTAAAATGGAAGTGCTTTTATTCTAGTGTAAAATAGTAAATACTACTTCTAAATGCTCTACGTACACGGCAACATTATAGTTAGTTTTTTTGTTTATTGCTATTTATTTGAATATTCTCTACAAACGCCACTAAAATTCTACACGAGCAGAGAAAATGACAGTGGCTGTAACTCGAAGCGGTGCCGTAGATGGATAATCTAGAACTATGAGTATAGATACATCATATCCTCATTATTACTAAGAAACGATGGCCGAAATCTAGATTTCATTTGTGCATAGGTACATGAAGTTAGTACGTAAAAATAACAAGTTGACACAATTTTTACTCAATTATTTTACTCTACAATGAAAGCACTTCCATTTCTAGAATACAAGAAATACGGCATCTATAGGTTGAACGTGGAGGTGGTATAGTTTCTTAGGTATGTAGTGTGTGGGATATAATGCACTACCCAGTATATCTACATTGATTCTTAGAAATTTGTACATATCTTCCAACGGCAGAGCAAAGGTCTGTGTGAATAGCTATCGTTATGCTTGTCTACATTTAGACTACAGTATAATAATGCTCATAGGATCTATATGTCCCTCAGGGTACTACCGGAACGTACCCTGGGTACGGTCCGGTATACCGGA